GGTTTGAAAAGATATATATGCATGCATGTGATAGGTCTTGTGGCCACAGAGGGTACTCTGAGTGAACCTGCAGCTCTTACCTGTGTCAGACTGCAATGCCAGTCTCCTTAATTTGCTCACCTGCCACGCCTTGTTTTTTAATAGTAAAAGTTGATTAAGGGAGGTTGCCAACAGGCTTTAGAGTGAACCTTATTCCTAAGGACTTCTCACTGGGTCTTAATCCAGCCCTCAGGCCTGATAAATACCTCGGCCTAACTAGGCCGCTGTAAAACACCCAAGGGCAAGTTGTGTGGCCCGTTTTCCTCCCCTATACCACACCCCAGGCCTTACAGGTATTATCATATCGTTGTTCACTTGTTGGGCTCTGGCCTCTTCAGCTTCCATCCTTTTCCTCCCAGAAAGGCCTTCTAGCCCAGGCCCACTGTGTTGGACCTGGCTGTGGCATTAGCTTTGGTTTGTCTCTCTCTGGCTCCAGCCCCTGTAGCCTTGCACACTGCCCCTCTCTGGTCTCAACAGTAGCTCAAGCCTTGAGCCTGCACATGAAGGGCTCAAGGCAAGTGTCTGCCCTTTGGGTACAAATGGAACCTCTATAAACCACCCCTTGCAGTCCCAACCCAAACTATCATCATTAACGGTAACTTAAACCATAAGCCCCTGGACTATGACAGAAAACACAAACAGCAGGAACACCCCGTACCCCTTTAAGAGGGCACTTTCCTCATTCCTAGCTGTCATACTTTCCAGCCCAGGGCTATACTCTAGCCCGGGGTGGGCAGTTATTTTGAGCAGAGGGCCACTTATTGAGTTTGGGCAAGCCATTGAGGGCTGTATGACAGGCAGCCCAGAGCAGATTAATATTAATTTTCTAAATTTTTTAGGGGCCCTGCGGGCCAGATAGAATGGCTTGGTAGGCTGCATCCGGCCCCCAGGCTGCATTTTACCTATCCCTGCTCTAGCCTATACACTATACAGCCTTGGGCTCTTTGGTCCCACACATAGCTTCTCTGGGCTCTCAGGCCCCAGCTCAGCCTTTCCCTGGGCACACAGACCCTCTGGTAGGCACCTCAAACCTTCTAGGGAGTTAACCTAAAACAAAGGCCACTTGCCTATAAACCCAGTCTTTCTCTGCCCAGGGAACTTACCTCTGTTCCCAGGCCTGCAGAGTTGTTTTGCTAAATCCAGGTCCCTTCAGGAGCCCTTCTGCCAGGAGCTCCTTACTGCAAGGTTGCCAGGGAGAGGTTCCCTGACCTGGACAAGCTCTGGATTTATATAGCTCCAGCCTGAGCCCTCTTCTGATCAGATGAGTCCCTCATTAGCTCCCCGCTGCCACCTGCAAGCAGGCTCACAGGCTTCTTGCTCTCTTCAAGGAGCAGGTACATCCCAGTGCCCTGCTACAATGTACCTGTTTCAAATATGTCTTAAAACACTGAACAGAATCAACGGGCACATATTTATCACCATGCCTATTAAGATTTTTACTTACTGCAAAATGTAGTACCACTAACTTAGTGGTGAGAATATCCATGAGAAACCACCTGACTGTGGGCATGAGTACAGCTGCACAACTTCCCCCAGGTCATATGATGCACGGGCCATACACCATACCGTGCTGCATGCTGGATGCTTTCCCACCTCACTGTACAGCAGGCACCCCTCCCTGCTATACCATGCCATCAGCCCCACTGGCCCCTGATCACTGCACCATGCCATGTGCCCCGTGGCTGCTTCTGCTGTCATCGGAGTCTTCAGGCTCCTTTTCCCTCTTGGTTTCTACTTCCTGCCTCCTTAGACCAGGGCTTGTTGGGTAAAAAGACTAAGAAGTGGAGACCGGGATGGGCTGGATGAGGGGAATGAAAGTAGGCTTGAGGAGCCAAGAGTGGGGAAGAATCAGGACTTGGGCAGATTGGAGGGGTTGGGCAAAAAAGTCATTTGTGGAGGGAAATGGGCAGAAGAGTCCACCTTTTGCTATCAGCTACTCAGTTAGCAGAAGTGGCAGAGGTCAACATGGTGGATCTTAAAATTCCTTGTGATAGAATTTGTTTTTTTCCAGTTTGTATTAAAAAAGCCTAGGACATTACATGCACTTATTTACACCTAACCTAATTGCTTTTAAGAAATATTCTTATGCTGGAAAGTCAAACAGTTCCAAGTTAGGAAATGCCAGAATTAAGGATGCCTGCATAATCTTAATTCACCCTCTTGTGCATTCATTACAATACAGTCTTTATTGACACCATCTCATTATCCCTGTCTGCTTCAGTGTACAAGATGAAATGCTCTGAGTGAATCAGGATTATGTATTAAAGGAGACTTTTCTGCAGCAACCCTGGCATATTTGGTGCAGAATATGGAAAGTAGGAAGTGAATGGATCAAGGGGATGTGAGAAGAGAGATGTTTGGGTAGTTCAGCACTGCCCTGGAAGATTGGATTCTATGCTTGCCTCTGCCACAGAGTTCCTCCTGTGTCATTCTACTCAGGTAGTTTGTATTAAGCTTTTCACACATAGTCACTGACTGTAGGTCTTACATTTTCTGAGTCCCTGACAAAATGTCATAGGGTCTGTTTCCAGAAGCACTAAACACTCACAGCTGCAACTGGAGGCTGTGCTTTGAGTATTCAGAGTGCTATACTGTGGTAGGTTTGCTGAAAAATCAAGTCTTCATATTTCAGATTAGGCACCCAAAATGAGTGAGCATTTTTTACATTAATCTCTCTGTGTCCCGGCTTCCTTTGCACAGTATGAGGCAGGAGTCCTGTGGAAATAATAGTACGTAATCACATAATTGAAGTCTGTTTCATAATGCATATGTGCAAAGTGGTCAAATTCAAGATTGCACATTCATTCTGGCATTTCCTACCTTCTGAGTGCATAACTTTGCAACATTAATAATGTTCTTTTAATGTCCTTTGGTATACCAAAAATCCAAAATCATAATTTTAAAGTATTTTAGAGTAACACAGTAGAACATTATGCCAATAATAATTCCAGTAAACCTCTAATAAATACTGATTTTAAGAGAATGTAAAAAAGATTTAACATATCAGTGGGGGAAGCCCTGCTTACCAGTAGTTGAGCAATCTGCTGCTTTTCAGCTGCAGGGAACAGCACTAGGTGGATCTTAACTATGGATCACTTTGGCTCTTTTACTTTTCGGCTTTACTGAATGTACCGTTTCTGAGGCAGGTGCAGTTTGCACAAGAGAACGGAAGGTGGCACTGTCATCTTTTAAATTTCCTTTTAACACAGCAGGAGAAGTGAAAAGAAGGGTCTTGGCTGGCAGTATAGGCACTAATATATGCATGTACATTCGGGCCTATTTGCTGTTGTATGCTTGGCTTGAGGTACCAACACCTGATACCTAATTGCTCCAGGGGCATTTGTGCATGGATGCCAGGGCCTAAAGCCTCTGTGAGCCCCATCTTCCCTTTCTAGATTAAGGAAGAAAAGAAGGGATGGGGACCTCATGGAAACAACAGGGGTGTAGGGTGGGGCCCAGTAATATTAGTGTAATGCAGATTGGGAGCTAGCAGAGCCTGCTTGATTGAGGAAGAGAGAGGCATTGCTCTCTTGCAAATTGCTGCCTTGGATTTGGCACTGAAAAGGGCCTGGGGCTCTTCTGACTCAGCTAGGCCAGATGCAGGTGCTCATTTGTATGGCTTTAGGGAGTTGCTAAGGGCGGATCATTTCTCTGTATGTGAAGATTGATGCGTAAGAGATGGTGACACATGGGTAATAAGAGAAGCTGTGATGGAAGAGAGATCATGATCTAGAAAAGGTTTGTTCAAAGTGAGGTGCATCCATTGCTTTGTGTGGTGAATCTGAGTAGCAGAGGAGGGGCTTTGTGCTTTGCCCTCAAACTTGATCTCCCAAAAGAAAAACCAAAGTGCGCACTTTGAGCAATCTTTTTCCCCAGCCTGTTTTGTTCTGGCACATTAAGTGGTCCACATGCCTTCTCCTTCCTTTTTGCTTGATTTTTGTTTCTAGTTACTGCACAGGCCACCAGTTTTCTCACTCAGATTTAGCTCTTCAGCCCAGAACTGGCTTTTTTCATTCAGCTAGGCTTATAGTAATACAAAGTTTGCTTGGTAGGTGTGGCTGGTGCCACTACAAAAGAATGCCTTGCCTTTCCCCACCCCAACTCTCCTTTATTTTCATCTTGGCCTGGCAGCACTATCTGGCATTGGCAGAGCAGAGGGAAAGGCTAAGCCAGATGCTCTTTGACTCACCTCTGCAGTTCTGAAAGAAGTGTACTCAGTGCCCCAGGTGCTTCTTAGCCATTCACTCCATCTCTGCCTTTTTGGCTCTGCTCCCTTTCTGCCTCTTTTCAAATACCAGACATGTATCTCTAGGGTACAGCTGCTACAAGAGATGACACTGTTGTCTTTGTAAAGTCTTTAGTCTATGGTAGAGAAGCAAAAGAACAGGTTTGAAAGATGTTGGCAGCATGGGCATATCCATGGAGGGGGGCTTCCCTGTTGTCTGCTTTATATGAGCCTTCAGTCCCTGAAAAGACTTAAGTTTTCACACAAGGAGAAATCTGAAGACAGTGATTCTTAACCAGGGTGCCTTAACATTCTTTCAAGAATGCCATGCCATGCCATGCCCTGCAATGTTAGGTGTGCAAACATGATTCACAATATAAAGCCAGTGATGTGAAATAAGAATTATGAGTGTTACAAGCATTCTGGCTTATTGTGGTCTTTCTGAGTTCTTTCAACAGAAAAAAATGCTCTATTTTTTTTATAGCAAAAAAAAAAAAGGGTGAAAGCAAAAGGCTGGAATTTCCTGAGGTGTGCCTCAGGTTTTACCAGGGTGGTGTGAGAGCCATTGGCTTAAGGGCTAAGAACACAGACCTTAACTTCCCACCTCAGAGCAAGGAAGGATAGAGAGGAACAAAAAGAGAGAGCTTGAGGCCAGCTGTCTTAGGCAGCCTGTAGAAATAGAGGGGCCAGGGTCAGGCAGGGTTAAATGCAGATTAGCATAAAGCAAAGCATTGTGGGATCAGAAACAGAGAAGTGTTGGGTACAAGTGTATGTATTAGAGATGGTGCTGACAAGCATGAAGATATTTTTTGGTTTCCCTAGTATAGCTTGAATTCCCTGTTTATATATGTTAGGAGCCCCTGAGAGCAGAAAAATATCTATCACATATAAACAGTATTGTGAGAGGGGATCATGAATGTGGGCTACAAGTAGATTTTGTTAAACCTGTTGCTGGTGGAGCCATGATCAGACACAGGTTTGTAGTGTTTTCTAGCCTTTTTCAGTTTGTTTTAAATAGTCTTTTCTTTCCATGTTTATAATTTTGTCACTAACTTAGTCTTTTGTCTTAGGGATTTGTGATTAGTGTTTGTTTTTTTGTAGGTGGTTTTATTATTTATTTCATAAGTTGTTAGCTGGTTTTGTTAATTAGTCTGGGTAGTGTTGCAATTATTCTGGGTAAAGCTGCAAGGTGGAATAAAAGTACCTGTTGAATTGAATGTTGAAAATAGCTTGCTTTGTTGTCTACTTTGTTTATTAAAGTTGTAAATGACTTTCTTGTGTAGTATGTTTCTTTGTCTTTCTAGGCAAAAAAAGTCCAACATAATAGAGCATTTCAAAATTGGATGCGGTTGCTTTGTGTAACTTTCTTAACATTTCTAATAATTTAGAATGAATGATTTGGTAACTATATAACTTCTAGCATATTTTATTATGGTAGTTTGGCACAGCAATATTATCTAGTGTATTAGAGTAAGGACTCCATTTTTCTTTCCCTCCCTCATATTTTCTCTAATTTACAGTTTTGTTGTCTTTGGGAATGTGTGATGCTATGAGGATGAAACTGGAAGTGTGTTGGAAGCTGTTCTAATTGAAAATGCTTAAGACCCAGAGTAGAGGATGTATCCAGGCTTCTGCCCTGAGGGAAAACAAAAGGCACATAAAGCCAGGGACTTGAGAAGAATGAGAAGTTAAAAAGAGAATAATGAGAGAACACCAAAAAGATGGAGTGGTCAGTGTGGGAAATATTTCTAAATGGCATTAGAAGCATTGGAAGGGGCCCAAGGACCATCTTTTCTTTAGAAGTAAATTTTCTTTTCCTTTAGGTTCTCTTTTTTTCCTGTTCTTTTTCTTTTTCAAGTTTTCTTGCAAGTTAAAAACAAACAAACGTAAGAGATGCTGTGTAGGTATCACTAGATACCTGAACTCTTCTTTTTACATAGCAGGTATTGCTACATGCTTCAGCAGCCAGGCTCAGATTTGACTTGCAGGACGACTGTTATTTGGAAGACAGATTGCTGGCTGTTTGACACCTACAGACTAATAGAGGAAGAGTGCAAATAATTCCTTGTATTGGAGTGCAAGTTTTTTACTCTCTCTTTCAGGGAGGAAACATTGGTTATTTCCCTAGATGGCTCAATATCCTTAGAATTAATAGGGGGATTATTTAAAAATAGTAAATATAGTATAATAAGGGGTGGACAAGCAGAAGTCTGCTAAAATCAGAAGTGATGCTCAAACGTAGTATGTTCAGTCATATGGATTGCCTACATAGAGGAATTGTATGTCTGTGTACAGACTTATTCTGAAGCATTAAAAAGGTGCTCTGATTTTGGTTATCAGCAGGGATCTTAGTTTTCTCTCTTTAAAAATCTCAAATTCTCTGATTCTTAAAAAACCCCCCAACAAATCCATTTTTCTACAATTAAAATGAAACGCCGCTATGAAATGCATCTTAAAATGAAATGCATGTGGTGCCCCCTGCTCAATTACCCTCCTTCTGTAGCCCTAAGTAACCACTTTTGCAGGCAGGAACTCTACCAGCCTGCAAGGGGAAACCCACTGTTTCTCACACTTTTCTCCTCTAAAGGAAAAAATCCATGATTTTTCCACAGTAAACGGAAAACCCAGGTCCCTGGTTATCGGCACCATATACAATATGGAAAGAGACAACAGAGCACACTGTGGTTTATCCTATTAAGTATGAGGAACAAACCCCTGTACCAAAGACCTTATACTGACTGTCATACTCTGATTTTTGATTGAGTCTTCCTTCATGAGTGGACTACTGATTTCAGGAATTTCTGACTGTAGGATTTGGGGTCTGAAGATACAGAATCTTTACAGCTGAGAGCCAGGGTGAGATAAGAAGTTTGCAGAGTAGATTAGTTTTCATGAATGATCTCAAGGAAGAGAGGACTGTCAAATCATTAAACGGTATAACTACTTCCTCTTCCCCCTTTGGTTTAACATCATCTATTTACTGGCAAAAGTGTCTTCAAATCCAAGCAAGACTAACTCTAAAATATTTATTGTTAATTGATGACATTTCCACCCTAATTTTTAAACACATGTTCCCAATATATCTTTCAGTTGTCCCAAAATATGCAATCATTTTAATAGATTTCTTATCTATCACTGAAACTTAGCAAATTCTAGTGTTTTGACGATATACAATTGTTTAAAATTCCAGCATATTTCTCCTACTCAAGAAGGATAGTCAAATTTAAACTATATTGTGTCCTTGGGGGAGGAGGTGAGGGTGTTTATCTGTAAATGTGGTTTCTATATTCATACTTCTTCATTCTGCACGTATACTTATACATGGCACTATACCTTTTGATGCCTATTGTGTATAGTTTAGACAGTCCCATCCAGAAAAGATATTGGACATCCTTATAATTACTGAGATTATCATTGCCCAAGGCAAAAGTGCTGTTTGTCTGAAATGACAAGGTAAAACCCTACAGTATATAGATAGCTATAGATGGATCTTTCTATACATTTCAGACAAACATCACTTTATATAAATTTCCTAGAAAGTTTGGGAAATGAAATTCTTTGTTCATTAGTATATACTTGCTTCCAATAATTTTATGTACATTATAAATGCTGGTCAGAAAATGCATATAGCTTAGAAACTGAGTCCTCCTGACCAATGGAACTGAAACTTTTGTTTTAACAAAGAAACATCATAGTTTTATAAGGCCTGATATTTGGAAATAAGTGAGATGGAAAGTACTACACTGTATGCAAAGTCACTTTTAATACTGATTGGATTAATTCTAAACGCTGAATTGGTGAGAGTAGCTAGGCTATATAGTATTAAAGCTATACACACACAAGTGCTATAGGAAATGCGATGACCTCTCCCTTGCCCACTGTGAGCTGTGGCCCACGGGTTCTGTGCCAACTGCAGTTCTGTGATGTATGCAAGGTGAACATCTCCTGTTTGGGTTCTCAGCATCCAACCCCTGCCTACCATGTAATGCAAAATCCATAAGTTCTCATGCAGCGTTTGCCCCTGAACAAAGAATATTGCTGGTTGGATTAATTTTTAAAACTGGAGTATAATAGTGCTATTGCCCTGGACATAGTGAATCCATTAAATTGTGTGTGGCTCTCCCATGTCTCTGAGTGCTTGGTTAATGCTCTTGTTATTACTATATTTATCTGTAAACCACATGCACATCTGCCCCCAAAATTTGCCCTCCAGAATTAGGGTGTGTGCCTTAAGCGGGGAAGTTGATTTTTCTTTGCTGGAAGAGAACAGAAATATACAGACACTGCTGTCATGGGTGCCAAGATGGCTGCCACTTCTCTCTGGGCCCAGCAAGCAGAGGGGCTGGAGTCCTTTGTCCCTCTCACAGCTGAGGTCGCTGTTGGCTGAGCAGCGTAGCATGCATCTGGAGTAGTCATTGAGTTAGCTCAGGGCAAGTGAGCTGCTGCATGCTGTCTGTCATCAGTACCTTGAGGCTTTTGGTTTGGAAACAACACCTTATTCTTTACTGTAAAGAAATAACAGTCTTGCTGCTGCCCTTGCAAGGGTCTGGGCATAGCCTTGTTGCTGTTCTGCCATAGCAGGACACTTCTGCTGCCCCATCTAGACTGCTTCCTGGGATGCCACACTTCCTGGGCTCTCTCTGTTCCCTAGAGACCTGACTTAGTGTCACACAGCCACAATGCTGTCAAAATCTTTTTTTCCCCTACCGTCTGACGTCCAAAAACAAGGTACATGCCTTGGGGGTAGGGGAATGTGGTACACAAGGAAAGGCAGTACTTCTCCTACTTTGTACTTGTTGTCATACCCTCAAGTATTTCCCCGTACTGCCATTTTTTTTCCTTTTGGTTTCATGGGGCCTCTTCAGAGTGCTGTCCCAAGAAGAGAAATTTATCACAGATCTGCTGAATGGCTGAGCATGGTGTTGGCAGGGTTTTCTTCCTGTAGGATTTACAGCCCTGTGGGCAATGCTTAGCCCAACCTGCTCTGGGTCTCTGGAACAGCACATGCAGCCAGATACATTTCTAGGCCTGGTTTTCAAACTGAGTGCAGATATAGAGAACACAAAAATCGCTCCCTTGTTTTAGGCAGATTGCCACTTTTCCCAAGGAGAAATCACCACTCGCATTCCACGTAGAAAGGTGACATCATGATCTACCCGTATAAGCTCATGGATCGAGTTAACATCCTTGGAGAGATTCCCCCAACTGACAGACCAATGAGCAGGAGATCTTGTTAACCAAATCCATGTGTTAAGCAAGGCAGTGAACGCTCTGGTGCTTAAAAATGTCCTTGTATCCTGCTGCTTTTCAGTTGCCCTCTCTGATCACTGTTGTTCTCAAGCAGCGTGTGTCCGACTGGAGTGGGAGGGAAGGGAACCCAAATGCAGCTGCAAGAAACAAGATAGCAGCAGCAGGCTGGAGCTTCCTGTGGTTCGAAACAACTGTAGTAGAGTAATGCTTTCATTTTATTTTTTCCTTATCTGCTATAATAGCTTTTAAATCACACCCAGCTGGACTAGTCTGCGAATTGCATAGTTAATCCAGATTCTTTCCATCTGCTTTTACGTTCATCGGAAAGCATTCATTTCTGTTTTGTGCTATTGACCATGAGGAGAATCGCAGAAGTGAGCATTCAGGGTTTGGGGAACAAGCTTCATCTCTTTCAAGTATCTTTTAGCAGGCAGTAAACAGAGCCGCACTTTATAAATTGGGTTTTGTTAACCTCCAGGGGTAAGCTTGTGCATGAGGCAATATTTAATAATGTACCTGGAAGGAGGATGGGAGCTCAGTTGAGAAAAATAATGCCCTGATATGAGGGTGAGGCTGAAAATCGTACAGCCCCCATGAGATGTTCCTGTCACCAGGGGCCGCTGCCAGGGGAGTCGGTAACTACTGTTGCACATCTCTAGGACTGAACTTGAAAGGCTGTTGTTTGAACCTGTGGTTTTCCAGACTACTCGTACCACAGGAAAAATTCCACAATATTCTTCCTGACTATTTTTTTTGCTGCTGGTGAATCAAGACTCCTAATTTAGCTTTATTTGTAATTTGCAGTGCTCTGGTTTATACCTGCCGCCTCCTCGCCCCCTCCAGCCTCCGAAAAAAAGAAACCAAACTGGAAAATTAACAAACAGTTCCAGGAAATGTGCTTATCCACTTCACATCTACCTTTGCGTAAATACAGTGCTGGATACGCAGCCTTGTATCTATCCTGTCTCCAAACATCTTCCGTCCACATGGTAGACAAAGAGGCAGAAACATTATCATTCCAAAGGATGTTTGTTTCCATATGGCTACTTTGGGGACAGGCCATGATCTGAACCTTAGGAATTTTTGTTCCTGAGAATCATACTCCAAGTGATTAATCCAGTGTCTTTCGAAAGGAAACTGTGAGGTAGCAGAACATTAAAACAGACTTTTCACTTTAAATTTAAATATATTGTATCAAATTCTGCTCTTTACCCCAGTTTAACAGAACACAACTGGTTTGTTGATTCTACTATGTACAGTATTAGTCAAAACTCCGTTAACGGTTTGCCACAGTATAAGTAGTACAGCAAAAAAAATTGGCCTGCTGGCTGCTTTTCTGGTTTTTGTGTTGTTTTTAATGTGATTTATAAAGAGAGGTAAATGCTGGCTTCCGTCATCTGTGGAGTGTAAGACACTGACGTGGTACAGATGCTGCATGTTGGATAGCTGTTTAACAGAATTATGTAAAACTGTTTTCTGAATTTTACCTGATAATGCTGCCTAAAGGTTTGTGGTGTTTTGCTTTTCACCCTCTTCAGACCATTCCATGTGGAGCCTACAAACATCGTTAGTGTGAATGATGACACACAAAGAGTTACAGATGAAGCATCAGCAATGAATAAGCGGATTCATTACTATGGCAGGCTTACTTCTCCATCAGACAGGGCAATGGTAAGAAAAGGCCAGAGATACTAATTAACAGGGGTATAATGTAATGTGATGGGGTTACTACGAGGGGTGCCTCACCTGCACATTTCTGCATTAGAATAAAAGAAAAGAAAACATTAGTTAAAAGTGAAAATTGCTTTTAAATAAGAAATGAGTGGCTACGCACATCCAAATTTCTGTAGAACCACAATCACAATTATCTTGTTATATATTTTTAGCATCTAAGAGACATGTAAACAATGCTGAACCTGTCTTAAAATTTGGCTACAAGAACTCACATAAATGCTGATTTATTAAGCTTTAATGTAAAAATGTGTTCATTTTGTTTATTATAAATTGGCTTGCATGAGAGAGGAAGCTGTGATCTTGCTAAGGCCCCGGGCAGATGTTACAGTTAAAACACGATTAACCAGTTAATCGCATCCTAAAGTGTAACCCAGCCACGTATTCAGGAAATTAATGACGTGACAAAATATGAATCAAGCCACAAAATGACGACACAAAAAAATGTGTACTAATTTTGTGTCTGGTTTCCATTGTGCTTTGAAACAAATGTGTGGCAGGGTGAACTGCACTGGCATCTCCAACTGGACCTGGTGTGTTCCCTGCCAGCCAGCAGTCTGCTGATCATTGTCAGGACTGGAACTGCACAGGGGCTGCCCAGTGTGGCCCTCATCCTGCAAGCCATGAGTTGGTTGGGCAGGGAACATACTGTTACAGGTTCAAGCCCCACTGCAGTCTTGATCCAGCCGGCTCCAGGGCTCACAGTGGGACTCAAACTGGCCCTGTTGAGTCCCTGAAGCCAACTGACAATTAGCTGCTTGTTGGGAACTGTTGCCAGTGCAGGAGGAGCCTGAGATCATGATGCTGCTCAGTGTTGCAATGCAGTTTCCCCTGCTCCAACAAGTATCGCATAATTGGGATCTGATCCCAAAATTGCATGTCTTGCCGTGCAAGTGCGTCATGGTGGGAGGCACAGTTGTTGGGATCACTGGTTAGATCCCATCACATCTTTAAATAAATATCTGTCAGCAACTTAATACTACTGCTTTTGTTATCTGTTTGTTAGATTGCTCCTGATCACGTTCTGCCAGCTCCAGATGAAATCTATGTGTACAGCCCATTAGGAACTGCTTTCAAAATGGATGGTTGCACAGAAGGCTATGGTAAAAACTCCAGCATAGTAACAATGTACGTTAAGCACTTTTGTTTATTGTGGCTAAAAATTACAATTATTTTAACTTAACAGCTTTTACTATAATCTGTTTAAGTTCATCACGGGGGCACAGAAGGGAATAGGTGAGTTTTTATTCAACAAGGCGCCCCCGGGGGTTACAATAAATAATGGCCACAAGCTAACAGAGAGCAGATTTAGATTGGACATTAGGAAGAACTTCTTCACAGTTAGAGTGGCCAAGGTCTGGAACGGGCTCCCAAGGGAGGTAGTGCTCTCCCCTACCCTGGGGGTCTTCAAGAGGAGGTTAGATAAGCATCTAGCTGGGGT